TAAAGGTGTTGTTTCAATTCTTTGACCCCCTTCACCACTGTTTCACATTCCCCGACTACCAATTGGTGCCCACTTTGGAGGAATTTTCTCAACTCCTGAGAATTCCTATCCTTAATCAACTACCTTTCAACGGTACGGAAAAGGAACCAAAGCCTGAAGATGGTGCTCAAGCCCTACACTTGCAACCATCTGATATCAAGGGGCATTGGGAAACTAGAAGCGGTGTCAAAGGCTTCTTAGCAAAATTCTTGTTTGAGAAGGCACAAGAGTGTTGGAATTCATTGGACCTACAAGCCTTTGAAGAAATTGTGGCCCTCCTTATCTATGGGTTGGTCTTGTTCCCAAATCCTGACCAGCTTGTAGATGTCAACGCCGTCAAAATCTTCTTATCCAGAAATCCAATACCAACATTGCTTGGGGACATTCTTCACTCATTTTACACATGAACAATGAGAAAGAGGGGTGTTCTCATGTGTTGTACTCCTCTCCTTGCAAGGTGGTTTATTTCGCACCTCCCACAACCTGTCTTGAAGAATGACCAAGGCCTAAGGTGGTCACAACGGTTGATGACCCTTACTCACTCTGATGTATATTGGTGTTCTCGGTGCAGAGAAAATGTCATCATCGTCGATCATTGTGGAGAGTTCCCTAATGTTCCATTGCTTGGCATTAGAGGAGGCATTACCTACAAGCCTTGTCTAGCTTTGAGACAATTTGGATATGCACGGAGGGATGGCCCTCATGACATGTTGATTCCTGACTTAGTTTTTGACTTCGACAACGATGCGCAAGGACTTCGCCAAAGATTCATCAGAGCTTGAAGGATGCCTAACAAGGTTGACAACAAGACACTGGGGCACAAAAACTCCATCCCTCTTGAGCCTTATCTCAAGTGGGTACGAACCCGAGCCCAGAGTCTAATGATGCCTTATCCTCATGTTCTCCCTGTGATTAAAGAGCCCGTTACGGAAGGAGAGGTTCCCTACACCATCCTATATCCTGACATGCCTACATCGTGGGAGGAGATGCAGAAGAGTTGGACCCAACTCAAGGAGGAACGGAACACTTTTGAAGCCAACTTCTACGCTAGTGAGAAGAAGGTTTTGGAGCTTACCCGCCGACTCCATGAGGAAGAGACCCTCAACACCTACATCTCCCCAAAGAGGATGCGCAACGTCTTTTTACCTTGAGAAGTTTTTGTAATACTTGGCCCATAGGGCATTTATGTACTGACAAATTTTTTCTTATTAATATGACGTGCGTTCTTTTTGTTTGCAACAATTTTGAACTTTCTAAATCCTTGAATGCATTGCATACATAAGCATACCATTCATCATGTGCATAAGCAGGTCTCCACGTCAGGTTTCCTTATCTTTCTGCTGTTTATTTCAGTAAGATGGATCTCGAACAGACGGTCAAGGACTTGCAGTCTCAGAACGCACAGTTTCAACAACTCCTGATGACCTTGGCTAAGGGTCAGGAGGATCTGAAAGCCCTGCTGGGGAACAAAGACCAAGTAAAAAAGAAGAAGAAGAGGGTCGGAGTGGCTACCTTGGGGAGAAGGTTTGAGGGTGAGGCCAGAAGGGTTCTTGAATTTCCTTCCGCATCCGAAGAAGAAAACAGTAAAGGAAAAGGGGCTGCGGTACCTCCCGAATCCGAAGCTGAGGAAGAAGAGGCTGAAGAAGACGAAGACTACTCAGAACAACAATACCCGCCGACTGATGACAAGTACAAGAGTTTGGAGGACAGGTTAGCAGCTATGGAGCTGTAGAGAGTTCCAGGCTTAGATTTCGAAGATTTGGGATTAATTGTTGGAGTTGTGATCCCCCCGAAGTTCAAAGTGCCTATTTTTGCAAGATATGACGGGCTGTCCTGTCCAAAAATGCACCTAAGGTCATATGTCCGAAGAATCCAACCTCACACATCTGACAAAAACCTTTGGGTAAATTTCTTTCAAGATAGCCTGTCTGGCACTCAGCTAGACTGGTTTTACAAGCTGGAAAGGTCGGAGATACATAGTTGGGAGGATCTGGAAGCCGCTTTTTATCGCCAATATCAGTATAACTCAGACCTGGCACCAACCCGTACTCAACTACAAAGTATGGGAATGGCCTCAGGTGAGGGATTTAAGGAATACGCCCAGAAGTGGCGCGATCTGGCTGGAAGAGTGCAACCACCTCTTTCTGATAGAGAACTTGTTGATATGTTCCTTGGGACCCTGTCTGGTCCATTCTTTAATCATCTGATCGGTAGCTCTTCCTCGGGGTTTACCGAATTAATTCTGACTGGCGAGCGGGTAGAAGCCGGTATCAAGAATGGGAAGATTCAGAAGGATGCCTCTGCATCTACAATTGCTAAGAAATCATTTCCAGCAAAGAAAGAAACGACTGTTGTGTATTCTCAAAGGGGAGCAGGAAGAAGTGAGCGCAAGCCAACTGTGGGGGCCGTAATGATCCAAAATCCACCAAATGATCAGCCTCGCAATAACCCGTCCATACCTAAACAGCAATGGGGAGAACGGCCACCACGGCAGTTCACCCGCATTAATATGACGCCCGCGCAAGTTCCTCCACACTTGTTAAAGCTGAATCTCACAAATATCAAAGAAGCGCCGAAAAATGTGAATACAACCTCACCAGCTTACAATGCCAATGCCAAATGCGCCTACCATTCCGATAGCGTCAGACATGACACAAATAATTGTTGGGCGCTGAAAAATAAAATTCAAGACTTGATAGATGCAAAGGAGGTGTAGTTCGATGCTCCAGAGAAACCAAACGTGATATCTGCTCCGATGCCGAAGCACGGTCGAAATGTCCATGCTATTGAGGAAGATTTGTATGTTTCTGATGTCAATGACCTGATAACTCCATTGTTAACCATCAAGTTAAATCTGTTAAAGGCCGGGATTTTCCCGGGATGCAAAGAAGATTGTTACTGTTGTTACTCTCTGCCAATTGACTGCCCGTTACTGAAGAAAGGCATCCAAGGCCTGATGGACAGTCAACAAATTCTATTTGAAAAAGTTTCCGCTATTCCGACCCCTACTGAAGATGTTTCAATTATCACCATTCACGCCAATCTTTCCAAGGCCGTCAGAAAGCCTGTTAAGATTACATCTGCTACAACGTCTGTTCCTCTGAAGATAACTATGCCAGGGCCTGTCCCCTACAGTTCTGAAAAGTCAATACCATGGAATTACGGTGGAGAAATCTACTACCATGGTATTAAACAAGTTGAAATAACCGAAGGAAGCTCTGATGAAGAAGATGCCAGCATTGGGAACATTGCCGGCACAAGCAAGATCACCCGAAGTGGGAGAATATTTTCTCCAGAGATTGCCCCCCCCAAAGGCAATCTTTGGACCCTCGTCTGCCGCCGAAGTTATTCCTGCACCAATAAAACTTTCCGTTAGAACCCTATTGATTGAAGATGCTGCTGTTCCTGTTGTTGTCCCTCCTACTTCTGCTGATAAGGGTAAAGGGATCCAAGATGAGCTCGTCAGGACGAGGGCTCAACCTTTGGTCATCCCGGAAACCTCTAAGAAAGAGATGGAGGAGATCTTGAAGATAATTAAAAAGAGTGATTATGACGTGGTAGAGCAACTGGGGCAAACCCCCTCGAAAATCTCCATGTTAGCATTGCTACTTTGTTCAGAGGCGCACGCCAAAGCATTGATAAAATTCCTGAAGACAACCCATGTACCCCAGGAAACCTCTGCCGACCAATTCCAAAACTGTGTAGCCAGTCTTACAGCAGACAACGGTTTAGGTTTCTCTGATGCTGATCTAACCTCAAAAGGAAGAAAACACAACGACGCATTACATGTGTCAGTAGAATGCCAAGGGACTACTCTGGCCCATGTTCTAGTTGACACTGGTTCTTCTCTGAACGTACTGCCTAAGAAGGCCCTTGACCGTTTAGACTGTGAAGGCTTGGAGTTAAAGCCAAGCAATATCATTGTAAGGGAATTTGACGGGTCAAAGAGAATGGTACATGGGGAGGTAGACATTCCCATTAAGGTTGGCACAAAGGTTTTCCCCTCAACTTTCTATGTGATGGACATCCGTCCGTCATACTCTTGCTTATTGGGGAGACCATGGATACACAATGCTGGGGCAGTCACCTCTTCCCTACATCAAATGCTGAAGTACCCTATCAAGGGAAAGATCGTAACCGTCCACGGTGAAGAAGAGTATATGATCAGCCACCTGAACTCTTTCCGATATGTAGAGGTAGAAGGTGAATTCATTGAGACGCCATTCCAGCACTTCGAGGAAGTCTCTCCTGAAGTGGAAGTAGCAAAAGTGGTAGCTGAGGTACCAAGGCAGATGGCCAGGATGGCATCTCTAAAAGACGCGAAGGCCGCAATGAAGGAAGGGAAGAGCTCAACATGGGGGCAGTTGCCGGACATTCCTCATAAAACAGACAAGTTTGGTTTAGGATTCACACTACGCGAAAAACTGCTTTTTGCAGCGCCTCTACTAAAGCGCTTATTGAAAAAGCGCTGCCATAGCCTTCACAAAAAACAAAATTAAAAAAAAGGGAAACCTACAAAGGCGCTTTTTTAAAAGCGCTGGCATAGGTGGGGGATACGAAAGCGCTTTTTACATTAAAAGCGCTGTGGTAGGTCAAATAAAAATATTAATAAAAACGAAATAATAGGGTTATGAAGGCGCTTTTTAAAAAGCGCTGTGGAAGATTGGCCTTTGAAAGCGCTTTCAAAAGCGCTGGCATAGCTGGACCTATGAAAGCGCTTTTACCCTAAAAAGCGTTGGTAAAAGCCCCCTATGAAAGCGCTTTCAAAAGCGCTGTTATAGCTTATATTATTTTTAATTTAATAAATTAAAACATCAAAATAACATTATTCATTCTTTTCTCTTCTTCAAACGCACAGTACAATAGCTCTTCTTCTCCCGCATATCACATTCACTCACATATACTTTCCAGCACCATTAACAACACTAAATCCATCAATAATTAAAGACAACAACATTTTTTTATAATATTTCTCTTATGCACCGGGAGAGCTTGGCTATAAGTCGGTGACCGATCTCCAAACTGGTTTGAAGAAATTCGTGAGATGCGACAAGATTCCTCCGCCAATCCTTCCGTTTGCCGCTGTTCGAACTCCTCCTTCCGCCGACAACCTCTTTGCGTGCTGGACAACCGCCACGGTCTCCGACCCGAACCTCCGCTTTAGATCCTTCCGCTTTAGAACTCAAACCCACCGCGACCACTACTCCACGGACATCTCCTTCACTCGTCGCCCTGTAACTTGCTGGAGACCATTCATTCGTGACACCAATAATAGAGCCAGCCGCTGTGTAGCTCGCTGCCACCCACTAAGATCTTGCCTCAGGTAAAAATCGCTTCTTGTTTCCTGGAATTAATTTTGATGTTGTTGATTATGATATGTGATTTGAGAAGAAGAGAAATATGGGTCATGCTTTGATTAACAAAGAGGAAGAGAGTTTTTTTTTTCTTTTTTTTTTGTTTTCTTCATAGGAAAAGTGTTGTTATATGGGATGCTGATAACATGTACTACCAGCGGCGCTAAATTCCCTAATAACAGGTGTTTTTTTTATTAGAAACTGTTAACAATATGATATGAAATAGGAGAATAGAATTGAAATAGGTTGATGATCAAGATTTTAAACATTCAACAAGGATTGAAACAATCAATTTAGAAGTTAGAACCTTACTAGTATTACTGATTTGTAAGCATACTCACTTGCCCTCGAATGTGTGAGAATATATATACGAAAAGAATCTTACATTACTCTACTATTAATGTTAGAATATCTTAGTTTATCTCATAGGATCAGTTTCTTACATTGGGGTATTTGTTTTCTACAGTTTGGCTACAACCTTCAGTTTTAATTCATAGGATCAAGTTCATTGTATTTGTTTTCAACAGTTTTACTATTTGTTTTTTACAATTTGGCTACAACAAAATTCTATTTAAGATCAGGATCATTGGGGTGAGTAAGATTGCAAAATAATAAGATTTTAAGATATAGATTGAGATCTTGACAACCTTGATTAAAACACTTTTCTGTATAGAACGGTCCCTCAAGACAGTTAACTAAATCGATTCAATATAACTAGCTTATCTCCCTCAATGCTCAGTCTAGCTCAATAAATATTAACCTTTTTATATTGATATCTTTATTTTCTTTTGTGGTAGATTTCTTACTGGAAACCTTCTCACTGGACCAATACCGCCTACTTGGAGGAAGAATACCTACGTGTGAGTTATCTTAGAATTTTTTGTTATAAGTGAATGTTGGTCTAAGGTTATTTCACGCACTTTTGTATCATCGACATGACTATAGTGTAGACTAATGTAGTTTTACGTACGACGCTCATTCTCCGCGTTTCTTAGAGTTCGAAACATCTGAGAGGTAACTTTCTCCGATTGAAGAAATTCGAACTGTCCTTGATCGTAGTGTACGCGGGACGCTCTCAACATTTTCAAAGGTTTCTATCCTATTCTTGAACTGACTTGAATAACTGATTGTTTTTACTTTTATTTTCCGGCTCAGTGTGAATTTCTAATGATTATAGTTGAGTGGAATTCATGAGCTGCGGTTGTGTTTTTGTTTATATTTAGACTGTTATGGCAGTATAGGGCTGTATATGGCAGTATGGCAGTATTGATAGCATTGAAACGAGCACGTTTCAGGGATTCATCAAACATCAATGAAAATCTTAAACACAATGAACCATGCAACACATTAGTTAGCGTGTAGATGTTAGAATTTAGGACTATAGGACTATACCAAAAATATCTGACGGGATTTTTCCGTTGCTAAATCTTCCGGTTGCTTCTCCTCCGATGAAATCTTTACCGTAAGGTTTGAAATCCGACTTCACTATTGTTTGAATATAATTGTTATTACCTGTATCCAAGACTGAATCACTAGTATCCGACTTCACTAGTTAGTAATTAGTTATGAGTTGTTTAGCACATGCTTAAGGTGAGGCAAGAATAACTATGAATTTGATTACCTGATATGTTGAATTTCTTTACAGGTAATTAATTATTATTTTGCTATAGTTGCGTGACTAATTAGTTGCTATAGTCAAACCATGGATAAAAAATGGATGACTGCCAATCGATTGTCGAAAGAGTATGAGGATGGGGTATCAGAATTCGTTAAGTTTGCCGTTGCGCACGCCAGAGAACCCAATGGAATGATATGTCCTTGCTTGAGATGCTGTTATGGGAGACGGGTTGACGCGGTTCAGTTGGAATCGCATTTACTGATGCATGGAATTGATAGAAGTTATGCATGTTGGAATTTGCATGGTGAGAAAAGTAGCGGGAATGTTGAATCGAGTTATAATACGACGTATGCTTCAAATGAGGATTTCGCAGACGCATACGATTATGATCGAGTCGAAGAGATTGCAGAAGCACTTGAAGAAGATCTTGACGATTGTCCCAAAATGTTCGAGAGGTTGGTAAGCGATGCAGAGAAACCATTGTATGATGGTTGTACAAAATTCACAAGATTGTCTGCGGTGTTAAAGTTGTACAACTTAAAGGCGGACAACGGATGGTCGGATAAAAGTTTCACACAGTTATTAGCCCTCGTGAAAGAAATGCTACCAGAGGATAATGTTCTTCCCAATCGAACGTATGAGGCCAAAAAGATGTTGTCCTCTATTGGCATGAGCTATGAAAAGATACATGCATGTCCAAAAGATTGCGTTTTATTTCGAAACGAGTACGCAGTGTTAAATGAGTGTCCTAAATGCGGTGCCCCTCGATATAAGGAAAAGTTGTCTCCGGAAAAGGTGTTATGGTATTTTCCTATAATTCCGAGATTTAGGCGCATGTATCGTAGTGAGACCGATTCAAGACACTTGACTTGGCATGCAGATGAAAGAATTATTGATGGGAAGTTGCGACATCCGGCAGACTCACCACAGTGGACGAAAGTTGATATTGATTATCCTGAATTTGGAAAAGAAGCAAGAAATCTTCGCTTGTCGTTGTCTACTGATGGAATGAACCCGCATGGTATTCAAAGTATCTCGCATAGCACCTGGCCTGTGATTCTTATGATATATAACCTACCTCCGTGGCTATGTATGAAGCGTAAGTACATGATGCTATCTATGTTAATTTCTGGGCCCAAACAACCAGGGAATGACATAGACGTGTACTTGGCACCCTTAGTCGAAGATTTGAAGTTTTTGTGGGAGACCGGTGTGGAGGTTTACGATGGGTATAGGAAAGAAAGTTTCAACTTGAGGGCGATGTTGTTTGGAACAATTAATGATTTTCCGGCGTACGGAAATCTATCAGGGTACAGCATTAAGGGTCAAAAAGCGTGTCCTGTTTGTGAAGATGAAACCGATACGATGCGATTGAACTTTTGTCAGAAGAATGTTTTTCTCGGTCATCGTAGATTCTTAAATTCTAATCATCACTATCGTGGGTGGAGAAAGGCATTCAATGGAGAGGAAGAACACGGTAGAGCTCCACATATGTTGACAGGTGATCAGATTTTTGAAAAGGTGAAAGATGTGAGTACTGAGTTTGGCAAGCCTTTTGCACATAGACTTGTCACGAGTGGGTGGAAGAAGAGGTCGATTTTTTTTGAACTTCCATATTGGAAGTCGTTGTACGTAAGACATTTCCTCGATGTTATGCATATTGAAAAAAATGTATTTGATAGTGTTATTGGTACGTTACTCAATATACAAGGAAAGTCTAAGGATGGCATTAACATAAGGAAGGACATGTTAAACATGGGAATTAGAACTGAATTGGCACCCGTGACGAAAGGAAGACACACATATCTACCACCTGCTGTTTACACTCTATCTAGAAAGGAGAAGAAAATATTGTGTAAGTTCCTTAGTGAAGTTAAAGTTCCAGAAGGTTACTCATCAGATATTAGAAGACTTGTGTCAATGAAAGACCTAAAGTTAAAGAGTTTAAAGGCTCATGATTGCCATGTTATAATGGAACATTTTCTACCAATAGGTATACGTTCTATTCTGCCAGAAAAAGTAAGGAGCGCAATAACTAAGTTGTGTTTTTTCTTCAAGTCAATTTGCAGCAAGGTGATCGATCCTGCGATCTTACCAACATTGCAAAAAGAGGTGGTTGTTACTTTATGTGAGCTTGAAATGTATTTTCCTCCCTCGTTTTTTGACATAATGGTTCATCTAGTCGTTCATCTTGTCAAAGAGACACAGTTGTGCGGACCAGCTTATATGAGATGGATGTACCCTGCTGAACGTTATATGAAAATTTTAAAAGGGTACGTGAAAAACCGAAGTCGACCGGAGGGTTGTATTGCGGAACGATACATTGTTGAAGAAGCGGTTGAGTTTTGCACTGAATATCTGTCAAATGTTCAATCAATTGGACTCCCCAAATCTCATATTGTCGAGAAAAAAGAAGGAAAAAGACTAATTGGAAATAAAGTTGTGACAGTGTCAATGGTCGAACGGGATCAGGTGCATTTGTATGTTCTGCACAATGAGATTGAGGTTGAGCCGTATGCTGAAATGCACAAGGGTGTTCTTCGAGGTTTAAATCTGAATAGAAATGAGAATTGGATAGTACGAGAGCACAATCGAAGTTTCATACCGTGGTTTAAGGAACAAATTTATTCAAAGTATCGTTTGGATCCTGCTTCAGTAACAGAAAGGTTGAGATGTTTAGCATATGGTCCAAGTATGATTGTGTTTTCTTATAGCGCATACGCAATTAATGGATACACATTTTATACCAAAGAACAGGATGATAAAAGTACTATGCAGAATAGTGGTGTTACCTTGGTAGCTGAAGCGATGCACATATCAAGTGCGAATGACTTAAACCTGAAATTTGCAAATCTATCATATTTTGGGGTTATCAAGCGCATTTTGTTGTTTGATTACGAGAAGTTTCAGATTCCTGTATTTGATTGCAAGTGGGTTAAAAATAATAATGGCGTACGAATGGATAAGTCATGATTTTTGCAAGTGGATCTCAATAGGGTGGGGTACAAAGATGAACCTTTTATTCTAGCCTCTCAGGCTAAACAAGTGTTCTATGTCAATGATCCGACAAGTACGAAATGGTCTATAGTGCTTTTGTCTAACAAAGTAATTGATGAAAACATTGGAGATCAAGGTGATATTGGCGTTGGCATTGAATCTTGTACAAGAAACGATCAAAATGAGAATGAACCTTGTACTAGAGATGATCATAATGAGGGTATTTGGATCAATCCAACCATCCGAGTTGTTAACAGAAGCGTAAAATATATTGCTACCAAGAAAAGAAAGAGACGTTAGTGAAAAAGGTATTATTATAATTATAGCCTAATATTGTAAGTAATATGTGAATAATTTTTTGAATTTTTGGCATATCTTTTGAACCGTTTTGAATTTTTGCGAATGTGACTAGTGTTTATTTAGTAGAACAATGTTTCCGGAGCTGATGGTGAGGTTTATTTCTTGCAAGTTTGGTTTTTTAGCATTTTATTCAATTTTGAGTTCCTTTAGTGCTATTCATATCTTTTTCGACTATCCATTTTCATGTAGTGTACTAATGTGCTTGTTTGACTTTTGTTACAGGTCTAATGGCTAACAATGAAGAAAACCCGCAAGGAAACCAACAAGAAAACCCACCAGGAAACCAACAAGATCATGAAAACTCACAAGAATCAAATCATGCAGCGGATGATACTTCAGCAAATGATGTTGCACGAGGCATCACCATAATGCGCGAAATCATTCGTGCTAGAGATAAGGGAGTGATATATAATGTAGATTGGAATCATTCAAATCAAGTAGTTGGGGTTAATGCTTCAAAATTCACAAGCTACGTTGGTACACTTGTTCGTATGCATGTGCCAATCTCCATATCTAGATGGAATGCGAAACAATGTGAAGCATTGAAGCAAGGAAAAGAAATGTTTTGGGAAGATGTTAAGGTATGTATGTTATATGGTTTATATGGTTATATGTTTATAAGTTTATAAGTTTATATGGTGTATATGGTTTTTAAACTACTTATATGTTTATATGGTTTATATGGTTTTTAAATTACTTATATGTTTATATGGTTTATACGCAGCGGTCTTTTAACGTTCCAGATGAGCGTAAAGGCTTCGTACTTGGGTTGGCCGAGAAAAGATTTAGAGGGTGGAAAAATCTGTTGACGAACACCTATCTTAAGGATGACAAAGGAAAGTGGCTGGAAGAGTTCCCGGCCGGAAGGCCAGAAAAGTATAATCTTTTCATTAAACAAGAAGATTGGACTGAGTTTATTAGACAAAGAGATGACGAATTCCGGCAAAAGAGTGCCAAAAATAGTGAGAGAGCATCAAAGCCCGCGTATCCATACAAAAAAGGGCGTTTGGGATATGCACGCTTAGAGGAAAAAATTGTAAGTAATAAATAGAAATGATATGTTCTTATTAATTGTCTAAATGTGTTGTATTTGACGATCTAACCGTT